ATTATTTCTAGTTTTCAATTATTTTTATTTTTCTATATTCATGATCTCCATGTTAAAGATTATATATTCTCTAAAAATTAGAATTAAATTATATTTTTAAAAAATATGTCTATTGCCAAGCCCACATTTCTACAATACGCAAGCTGGCCGCATAGAAACCGTGTCAAAAAATTTGTAATAATATATAAAGTTCTAAGTAGAGAAATAAAAAAATAGAGAAAAAGGCAAAAAAGAGAAATACATAAAAATTATTATAAAGACAGCTTTGTAGACTTTACACTGACAATGCCCTTATCAGCCGATTTTTAAAACAAATCGCTAATTAGTGAACTAATTGACTAATTAATGCCGAATAATCCCATTAATCGACCGATTAGTGCACTGAAAAAAAATTCTTGCATACATGACCGTTGAAATTGGGCCAGATATCGGGATCAGCTAGTGACTGATCCCGAGTTAAGTTGGCCAATTTTTAAAAAATCGACTGCTCCAAACAATAGTCAACACTTCACCCAAATTGCCTAATTCATTACATCTTTGTTGCCAACAACAAATTCGAAACTAACATTAGAACAAATAAAGCAAGAGACGTTTGGACCATTGCTTTGCTGACATCGACCCTCGAGAGGCAATAAATTCATCAAATAAACACATTCGCATGCTCCCAGTATTTTGGACCACCACTTTGCTAATGATATAAAACCTCCTCCCAAAAAGATTGATAATAGCAGGCTATGCATATTTTTGTGGTGGGGTTCCACATTCCTGAATAGGAATTGCATGCTACCTTGCATCTCTCTCTCTCACACACTCATGGAATAGATATCTCTCAAAAATTTCTGACTGAAAGTGAAGCGTGTAAGCAAACACTTCTCTCTCCACACATGTGGGGTAAAAACTTCCTGAGGACTAATTTCAACAGCTGTAGACGACCTGCATAGGACACCTGCATAGGACAGACATAAGGCTTGCCATGTGCCTATCCTGCCAAATGCCAAATATAAGCGCAGTTTGAGGTATCTTACTTTCAAAAGCCATCATTTTTCTTAAGCATTTATGGGTCAATATAAGTTTATAGCACTACTGTATTATTATGTACAAGAAATATAAGGGAAAAAAAAAAAAAACCAAAAATTCAAGCTCCTAGAGCTCAATGATTACGGCTTGAGCTGTACAAGGGAGAAAGTCTAATTTAAGTTGAAGTGGAGCTTCCATCTTCTCTCAAATGCATCCAGTCATGCTTGGGCCCCTACATGCAAAATATCTGATAGTATCAAACTTTTCCAATATCATATTAAAAGAGGGAAGGGCTCAAGGCAAAGGTAGTCAGGGTGGAGGTGGCAAAACATACTGTCGAAGTTCCAATCTAACCAAGTCCCAAGTTCACGATAAAAAATTGAGATCTTGAGGATACTAAGAAGCAGGAAAGAAATATCAGTAGAATGAAGCAATGAAAAGGAAAACAAATGATAAACTCGGAATATTTTTTGAGCAAATTTTCCAACTTGTCATTTGTGTGAGCCCTTGCAGCGACAATCCTTTTCACTAACTCTGATAGTTATTTCATCTGTGAATCAACTCTGCACTTCTCTTCCACTTGAATACGTTTCCTGCACTCTCTCTCTCTCAATTCATCGAGGGATTGAGGGCGGCAGTTAGCACCAGGCATGCTACCGCCGTGTCCCAATTGTCCCTTCAGAACAGTTTCATCGAGATTTCCTATTAAACTTAACCAATGTACTAGGACTCAGCCGAGTCCACCCGGACTCGGCCTCCAGGTGAGTTTCTCCCAAGTGTGTTATACATTCAATTCTAAACATTCAAGTGGTCTTCTGGGTAGCACACCGTCCTACTTAATATTCTGGCGAGGACTCGAATCTCCCCACAAGCACTGCTTATATTATTTTAAACCGAGGAAACATAGCATTTTTTAAGGAGTGGAGTTCAAAAAGTGAGCCGTCCGGGGGATCAAACCCAAGACCTAAGAAAAAGACGCATCCCAGAACCAACGTGCCAATTGATGTTTACTGTTAGAAAGGGAAGGCATACAATATATCCATATTTTTTTTGTCTTTATTTTTGTTTTTTTAACTTGGGATGGACTCGGGCAAGTTACTCGCATCGGCCAAGGTCCAAGTGAGTCTTTTTTTGATATTCTGAACTTCACCGAAAAAAAACTGAAAATCCTAATCTCTGACTTTGGGGAAGTTGAAATGTTTTACCTTGTATCATATATTTTTCAGGTTGGTCATCAAGGTTTGAACCCAAATGTCTCTTCCAAAAACTAGGCATCTCACCAGTTAGAACAAATACCTGGTTTACCTTGTTTAGCATTTCACTTGACCAATTTATTAATTTTTGAAAATTTGCTGGTTGATTCACGTTAGGTAATGCCGTCCCAAGTTGGATTGACCAAGTATGCATGCAAGAAGCTTAAATCCCCAGATCCATATATTTTGAAAGTGACAAATGACATAGCAGAGCATTACATAAAAAATACAAAAACAATACATACCTTTCCTTGTCGAATGATTGTTGGTAAAGTACCAGTCAAATCTACCACGGTTGATGGATCAGCTACTCTAATCCCAGCATCAACAATAAAATCAAGACCCTGAAAACACAATACTTTATTTAGAAGTGTGGCTCATCCATCTAAAAGAACATATCACCATGTAGTGGGACACTGGAATGTAAAAATGTTGTTCTACAGCGGGAAGAACAGCTTATGTAATGCCCATCCTCAAAATGCCTTTCCTTTTTTATATACTATACAGCCTGTATGCTGCATCGCAGTAAATGAAATTAGAGTCTCTGATCCTATTTTGTAGGACTCGGATGAAATTTAAGTGAGATAAAATTGGACATGCATCACGTATCTACTCCATAAAATAATGACACCCGAACCTACATAGTTAAATGTTTGCCCATTTTTTGTAGGACCAGAATGACATCAGGTTCAAGAAAACATTGTAAAACATATTTCTAGCTTCAGATTTTTTGCTTCGGATAAGTTTAATAAATTTAATTTAGAAAGAGAGAGATCCTCAGATTGACTTGGCAAAAATAATCAATTTGCCCCTCACTCTGGAACACTTCTCTCCTCCCCCCTCCTCCCCCTCCTTCACCGCTTTAATGTCTATATAAACTACCAAAAAGTTAAATATGCATTTTAAGGGCCTGAAGTGGAGCCCTCTATACCCATTGTAGTTTAAAAAATTCAATACCATTATATTATTTTAAATCGTAAATTGAGTACCAATACCTCCTTTGGATGGTAACTCACAAGGAGAGTAGCAAGTAATGATTTCCTTATAAGTATTAAGATGGTCCTCCCTCTAGTCTTTCGAAATTTCAAGAGAAGTTCATCATTTGCTCATTAGATATGATAGGCATTCTCACTCTCTATGTATACACACACACAACCATGCTCTGCACTAAAGTTTGCCTCCAATGACAAACACTGGCCCCACCTCCACAATCAATTCATCCTTTTGCTTTCCTTAGATCTATCTATGCCTATTGCTTACTTTTCGAACATTTAAAGAAAAAGAAGTTAAGAGATAAAAAGAACACAGCAAGAACGAGAACAAGTGTGTGTATATATATATATATATATAAGGAAATGATGGGGTAGGCCCACTAGCCTACAGCATATGAGCTCAACGGTCTAGATTCAATCTCGACCGATCCGACAGATATAACCTCTTTTTGTATTTTAATTTTATTTTTTTCTACAAATCCAAATCATGTGACATTTCAGGTATCTATTCTTCTCAAGGCGCACTTAATAAAAATATTAAAAAAATATTTCAAAAAATATAAATTGACCAAAATACGTCTAAAACGTTTCGGGGGTATTTTGATCAATTTATTTTTCACGAAATATTTGTTTGATATTTTTATTGGATTCGCCTATTTTTTAAATAACACACCCCCAAAATTTCAAATGATTTGGATTTATAGAAAAAAAATTAAAATTCGAATACGAAATACAATCATGATCATTGGATCGGCCTAGATTCAATCTGGGCCGTTGGCCTCATATGTAGCTGTAGGCTAGTGGGCCATGGAAAAAACTACCAATAACTTGACACCTATATGAATAATAATATAGGTGGAATCCCAGCAGTCTGATCTTCATCAGGTGGTCCAAAATACATATCACTATCAGAACTTTAATCTTTTTTTTAGAAATCTGATCGTGATGAAATTTTGAGCATGTGTACTAAAAATAGGTAATACAAGAAATAATATAGAATAATATCTTCCAAAATATATATCCCTGACAAATGATGGGGGTAATTTGGTAATTTTTAATTCTGAAAAGTATTTTTTTATATTTTTATATGATGCACAAGGGTGTTAAGTATATACACCCAAAATTTCATTTCAATCTGATTTCTAAATAAATGATTAAAATTCATATAGTTACATGTATTTTGAACCACCCGATAAAGATCGGACGGCTGGGATTCCACCTATATTACTAATCATTATAGGTGCTACCTTTT